TTATTTGTTAAAATATACAAATATGTTGAGAATAAATTATTCCACATTATTATTTTGCTATATAATTTTTTATTTGAAAGTTCAAAGTAAAATTATTTTGAAAATATTTTGCGCATTTTTCGATATCTGTTAATGCACATGATTTGAAGATACATTAGTGCATACTCAAAATGATGAGAGGGCAATAATACTAGTTTAATATTTTCACTAAATTATTTTTATTGGTCATCTAAACACGAAAAATTCTCATACACATAATTTAAAAATAAATTGGTAAACAAATATGTCTAACGTTCTCACACTACGAAAAGATATTGTGTTTGTGTTAGAGTTAAAGCATTTTCTCTTCTATGATTATCAATTATCGTTATTTATAATGGTTAGAAAATCCCAAGAAGATTTTCCGCGCATGTGAAACTACAGTAATTTCTTGCACGATTATTATAAAAAAGGACTTCCAAAATTTAATGATGGTGACTTGTATACCAATTAACGATTAGACAATTATACTTTTATACACAAATAACATTTTTAAAAGACAACATAAACAAATTAAAGTATATATGATTATTTTCGGTATAACTACGCAATTTCATTAAAAAAAAAAATATGAACATTTATGATTAGGCTACCTCACTCAATAATTTGTATTTTAACCAATATGCATATTTATACTATCAAATGACATATATACTTATGATTACATTGTTTGTAAAGTATGATATTTTTACATATGTATATAGAAAGAGGATAGCTCTAATGATTAAGTCGGCATAACACAAAATCAACTAAATGTTCAACTTGGTTGTAGTTTGTTATTTTAAGTTATTAAAATTTAACAATGTTTGAATGCATTAAATTATGTAGCTTTTAGTTATAGTTCTTCAATTTATGATTGAATGGGTTGATGTTATGTCAATTTCTATGTTCATCATTTCTAAAAACCTAAACTACGAGTGGTCCTCAAAATTTGAAAGCGAGTGTTTGAACATTAAAATGTTCAATAATGAAAAGTGAAACTAGCAGGGGGAAAAACACCCACAAAGGATCTTTATTGTGTTTATAAATCTTANTATATAAATATGTAAATATTGGACAAAATAGTGATTTGTACTAAAATGACAGTTAGTGAAAAGATACATATAGCATTTTGGTTGTCAAACTAACAAGGGGCCCTCGTTGGGTAGTGGAGGGGGTGTGTTAACTTTGATGTGAGGCTAGTGAAACACGATTTATAGGGTGACACTTAAACACGATTATAGCCAACACTTTCAACATCAATTTATGAAGTATCTCTTTTTCAATTGAATAAAGTGATCCACGCGTGATAGCAAATAGCAAATGAATAGAGAAAAAGGTTAAAGGAAATATAATATGTAGGTTTCTTATTTTGTCATTTGAAAGATTATAGGATTGTGCTTGTGAACTCTGGTGGTAATGACTGTTCGTAGAAAATTGTCGATGTCTAAGAGCATGTAGTTTTGATAGTGGAGGTGACGAGTTCATTAATTTGGAGAGTGGAGACTTTATTTTATTGCATTGTATTTCTTTTTTTTTTCTTTATTGTGTTTTTCGACTTGTTCGCGCGTTTTTCGTTGTATAATCTCCATTATTGAAGTATAGTGATCTCACATGTGGGAATAAATATATTTTAATTTAATTTTTTTGTTGACGTTGTGTTGTGGGCCTTAAATTTGCCTTTGTTGAGNTTTTGGTCAAACGAAAATTATTTTAAAAACTGAGAAACTCAATGCGAGTACACTTGATGTGTGAACGAACACCACTAAAAGCAGCAGAAAGACTGTATCCTCCCATTTGAGATTACACAATCAACCAAAGTAATACAATCACTTGCAAAACAAAAGAACTCAAAAAATGAGACAAAACAACTCCATAAAAGAGACCAAAGTCAGACGCAACTGGACTTAAACCGAAAAACTATAAGACACGGTACCGAAAGATAAAAATCCAAGAAAGATAAAAACACGGTCCCGAAACAGATCAAGAAAATCCAAACTCCATAACTCATTAAGCTAAGACTAACTTGTTCCGAATCGACAAGTCGAGACCTCCTTCCAACAGAAAACCACCGGAACACAGGGAGACGAGCACCAATCACCTCCCTTAATAGTGGTATTACTCAAAATTTGAAATTGTGCTTAATTAAAACAGTTCTTAGAATAATCAAGAAATGAAGTATCATTTCTGTAGGCTATAGAATTAGGTTCAAATTTCCAAATGATGTTCAATCAGTCAACCTCAAAGATTGGGCCCTCCCAACCGTCCAGGAATCACAAGTTAGTCCACGAGCCGATTCAAATGGCCCCCTTTCAGCCCAAGCCCACTCTAAAATTCTTGTGATTGACTGATTTGATGGGCTGAAAGCCTGACAAGAACCTTACTTTAGTTTCGTGAAATCCAGGACCACTCAGCACCGCAAACATATATAGTGCAGTCATTGGATTTTTACGTTTGATGTGTTGATAGAATGTTTAAATAAATAAATTAAAAAAAAATAAAATAACAATAACTGTAAGAGTAGCCATTTTCAGCAAAGTATGTGTAGGAGTTAATATAAAAAAATTGATAACTAGGTGAACATGAACTCTCCCTAGTACGACTACTAGTGACAACTTTCTTTATTTTATTAGTTATTAACTATTTTAGTATTTTAGTGATTGATCAATATTAAGAACTAAGTAACATTGTGACTCCAAAATCCAAATCCATTAATGATGGATTATAACTTTTCAGCAATGATTTTATTATTAAATACATATAGCTACAAATGTTGAGTACTTTAAAAAATACAACAGTAGTTTACATTATAATACTATTTGCAAAATGCTCGAAAGTCAAATGTTTTTTAGTACTGCTTTATTGCGGATAACTCAAACTTCAAATCGTGAAAAAGAAAGTTGGAGATGTTCGTTTAGCCAAGCAAATCACAAAGCCTATCATGTCATAGAGGATGCCCAGATTTAACTTAAAGTCTCCAAGTGATTACAAAACTGGCCCAAAAAGGATCCATCACCACACTCCAAAAGTCATCAACTGACCAAGAAAATTTTAGCCCAGCTATAGTGTCAATTATGAGCACATGTGACCGATACCGCTAATTGGATCTATCCTTATTTCGATTTTCTTAAGCCCAAAAGAGTTGTGTGTTCAAACGTGGGCCGAAAACCACTTAATGTACCAAAAAAATTAAACGGACCAATAACCTCTTGCCTCCAGACTCTAACTGTAGAGCTGCTAAATGAAACGAGTAGCTCGTGAACTCGACTCGGTTTGTTATGACTTGAGTTTGGATCGACTCATTTAATAAGCGAGTCGAGGTTGAGCTCTCTTAAAGCCCGTTTCGTTAACGAGCCGACTCAGCTCGCCGGGATAAGGCTCCAAAAGATCATTTTTACATAATTTTATATAGTTCGACTCGTTAAAACTCATGTTCGGCTCGTTAAGGTTCGAGCTGGTATCGTTAATATTAATAAACGAATCAAACTCGAGCTCGATTTCTAGCTTGTTTACTTAACCAGTTGAGTCGGATTCGGCTCGTTAAGGGAGCTCGAACTTGCCTCGGGTCGTTTACAATCGTACCTACAAAATCACAAAGGAAGTAGGTGGAGCATAAAAACCAATATTTTTGGTACTGAGTAAGTCTCAAAAAAATATAATCACGGTTGTTTTTGTTATTTCGACATTGTTTTCGATATTGAACCGTTTAAAATAATACTCCCATAATTGGTTTTACAATGTCATACATCCAACTTTCAACCATTTAAAGCAGTCAGACACAAAATATTCACTAGTATATATATTTAAGAATTAATGTCCTTAATATACCTAATCTATCTATCTATCTATCTATTGATTGATACTATTATAAAAGTACCAATGAATCTGTAAAAATATGTTTTTTCTAAAATAACCTTACTTTATCATCTTTATAATGGTAACTTTGTAATTTAATACCCACTATTCCTATACCCATCGGATAAGACCATAAAAAATCATAAAAATTTGTCTATTTCCTACCCCACAGGATAAGACCATAGAAAATTAAGCTCAAAACGTTATTTATATATGAATGAAGAAGGAAAAATGACAAATTAAAAAATAATTTAGCATCTCAAGAAAAGTGCATGATTTTGAAAAGTAAACTTCCATGGGGTAGGTACCAAATTGTTTATACGGAGAGAGAGCGTAACGTAGTAGTTTATACAATAATTAAAATAGATACAAAGAGCGTAACGTAGTAGTTTATTTCACAGATATATTTATGAACTATTAATAGAAATACCTTATAATGGTCATATAATCATGAAATTTGACTATATTTAAAGCAGACGTTTTGCCAAATTAATTAAGAAGAATTTTGCAATACTAGTGATGTATTGGACAACAACGAGTATGAACGTTTATTATGAGAACGTCAAAACCAAAATGATACAAAAAATCACTCTTAAATAACACAAATAAATAAAAGACTTCATGCATCCATTTATAATTTACATTAGGTCCTTATTTAGTTACTTAGTGTTTTTTTATTAGGGACTCATTTTCATATATTTTTGTTGGTTTTGTAAATGTTATTTAAATATTTTTATGTTACAACATCATTATGTTATCTAAAAAAATACATTAGGAGTTTATTTGTTCTAAAATTTATTTTGTTCTTGCAATCATATGTTTTAATAAATTAATTAATTTATCTTACTAAACTTAATCAGTCAAAAAACTTTCGACACCACGTGCGTCGCACGTATATTTTACTAGTACCTAACAGATGCAATTCAAGTAACTAAAACAGTCTATATACACTTCAATTTCGATTAGCAACATTTAACTTTGTCATCTTTTAATTTGGTGGTCTAGAATTTAAAATTTTAAAAATATTTTGTTAATAATTTGATGTAATTTGTTCGACCATGTTTCATTTCGGTAGCTGCTAGGAACATTCCTAAGGAAAAGTACAAAGATAAGAAAGAAAAAAGAAAATGTGGCAAAAACCATGTGAAACTTGTACCTCATGCAACACCTCACGCATGCAGCCCAACACGTTGCACCTTCTGCATCTCTTTTTATACCTCGTTTTCCCAGCCTCAATCCACCCCAACAACTTCCCATCCCAACCCCTCCGAAAATTACTCAAATACCCTCCTCTCCCCAAACCCCAACTTCACGCGCCGCCGCCGCCAATGGCCGATCGAGACCGCCCGCAGCCCCACCAAATCCAGATCCACCCCCAGCCCCACTACGGCCGCTACGAGGGCGGCGCCAAGTCCATCCTCCCCCAGAAGGGCCCGTCCACCGGCCAGATCCTTGCCGTCGTCGCCCTCCTCCCCGTCACCGGCACCCTCCTCGCCCTCGCCGGCCTCACTCTCGCCGGTAGCCTCGTCGGACTCGCCGTGGCCACCCCGCTGTTCGTGATCTTCAGCCCCGTCCTCGTCCCCGCCGCCATCCTGGCCGCCGGCGCCGTCACGGCGGTCATAACGTCGGGGGCCTTCGGGCTGACGGGGCTCTCGTCCCTGTCGTGGGTGGTGAACTCGTTCCGGCAGGCCACCGGGAAGGATCCGCTGGATTACGCGAAGCAGCGCGTACAGGAAGGGACCGTTTATGTGGGCGAGAAGACCAAGCAAGTTGGGGAGACGATTAAGAGCAAGGCAGCGCCGGAGACCGGAGGGCGAGAAGGCGGAGCCGCCGGCCGGACCTGATGATCGGAACATCTAAGGCACCGGAAAAAACAAAATCAATAAATGATGGAGAGATGCGCGAATATGTTATTAATTTGTTTTTTTTTGTCTTTTTTTTAATATGCTTATGTATGTTTTGAGTGGTATCAGTACTCTGTGAGCTTTTGAGTTAATCTGTGCTGTGCTGTGTAATTTATGAGAAATTTTACTTTTCTTTATGCTTCTTGCTGTGTGTGATTATAAAGAAGGAAGATGAGACTGCTATTAAGAAATTTGCTAAATAACTCTTTGATGATTGGGGAAGTAGATAAATTTGCTAAACAACACATTTGCTGTGTGTTTATCATTGAACAAACTCATTTGCTGTGTGTGTATTATTGAAGGAAGATATTGTTATAAGATAAGTTTACGAGGTTGTAGATAAATTTCTTCAAGGTATTAATGAAAGAAAATATAGTGGCCATCTCATGAGTCATGGGAACATCAGCAGTGTGTAAGACCTCTAGCCTTAATGAAAATTACATAAAATTTCTCTCAAAACTAAACGAGCTTGTCAAAACTAAACGAGCTTTAGCAAGCTCGAAGCATTTATAAGCTCGGAGCATTATCAAATGAGCTGAACCAAGAACGAGCCTTTATCAAATGAGTTCATCCAAGAATGAGCCTTAAAAACCCGAATTGGCCACTCTTATCATTTATCAAACTCTTTTATTATTTATCAAATGAGTTAGAACCAAGAACGAGCTTAAATTGGCCACTCCAGATCAACTTGTTTACGAAACAAACCACTCTTATCATTTATCAATTGGCCACTCCTGATCAACTTGTTTATGAAACGAAACAAACCACTCTTATCATTTATCAATTGGCCACTCCTGATCAACTTGTTTATGAAACAAACCACTTATTATTTATCAAATGAATTGTTGATGATCGACTTGATTTCTTATGATTAATTAAAGACTATTATTTATCAAATGAGTTGTTGATGATCGACTTGATTTCTTATGATTAATTAAAGACGGATCGTCTTATCTCGTTAATGACTCTTTGGAGTTATCGTTTAACAGCCAAACTTAGCTCAAGTTGGTATAGCTGAACCATTACCGACTTCTGGACGGCTTAAAAGAACCGACTAACCATTAACATCTCAAAACCAACTTCACCGACTTTACAGACATTTACATTAAAGATTATCCATTTATCTAAGATATGATCGAATTTCCAAGCAGGAGATGCTGTAAGCTTTCAATTGGACCATCAAGTCAAAGAATAGTCATTGATGTTCCCTCGTTACATTACATGCCGCTTTATTGAAGCAGTTCAACATTAAATGCGATCTAATCTACGTCGGACAAAAGACAAAACAAACTGTACAATAAATAGTAGAATTTATGATTGTACGGGGATCCTTTTGGGCACATTGTACACGGACATAAAAAACATCTCGGTTACGAATAGAAAACCGACTTCCTGTACTCTTGTGAAACGATCAATAAACACGCAAATTTAAGTTTATTTTGTTTTAGACACACCTTGCTGTTTGTTTATTTGAGTTGTTAATTTCATACAACAACACGAGTTATAACGAAGAACGAGCCTAAATCAACTTGTTTACGAAACAAACCACTCTTATCATTTATCAAATGAGTTATAACCAAGAACGAGCCTAAATTGGCCACTAGAGATCAACTTGTTAACGAAACAAACCACTCTTAGATCAACTTGTTAACGAAACCAACCACTCTTATCATTTATCAAATGAGTTAGCTAGAACCAAGAATGACCCTAAATTGACCACTCAAGATCACTCTTATCATTTATCAAACGAGTTAGAACCAAGAACGAGCCTAAATTGGCCACTCGAGATCAACTTGTTAATGAAACAAGTCCTCTTATCATTTATCAAACTCCTATCATTTCTCAAATGAGTTGAACCAAGAACGAGCCTATATTAGCCACTCGAGATCAACTTGTTAACGAAACAAATTTTAGACGAGAGCTTGTTTCATTGATATCAAACGAATAAAACTATCAAACGAATAAAGCCGAGCTCAATGATCGAACGAATAAAATTGAGATTTGAGACGAGAGCTCGATTCATTGATCAAACGAACAAAGTCGAGATTTTAGGCGAGAGCTCGATTCATTGATCAAATGAACAAATCCGAACTCAGTGATCAGTCGAATAAAGCCGAGCTCAATTAGAAAAATATGTCTAATTTAATTTAATTTTTTTGTATTTTCGCTTAACAATAAAAAATAAAGTTATATATTTTTTCAATAAAAAAAAAAATAAATTCATTTTTACTTTTATAGTTTTATAACTATTAAAAAATATTTCGAATTTTGTAACCATTCTGCTCATCCGACAAGGCTTCATATCCTACTGTACATCGTGTGCCCCAGGCCAAAATCTCTATAGTTGCCACGTCACCCATTAACACACGCGCTCTCTCTCTGGTATTTAAACCCATTACCAAGCTGCTTTTTCGTTTTTCACCATCCAAAGCAAACATGGATTTGTACGCTCCTCTCTTCGAGAAAACGCGAATACCCCACCCCTCGCTCCAGAAACTAGCTGTTATCTCCGTCTTCGACAAGTTCCGATCTGCCCCGCCGTCCGATGCCGGCCGAGAAGCCGTCGGCCGCTGCCTCCGCTCCGCCTCCCCCTCCGTCGTCGATCAGTCCGCGCGCGAGCTGTGCCGCCTCGTCAAGGACGCGAAATTGGATGTCTCGACTGGCTTGTTGGAGTTGCAGTCCGCACTCGAAGAGTCCTCCAGTCCTGAATTATCTAGCGTATTCGTCAGAGCCATTGGATTGCTTACCAGACTTGGTTTTCAGCAAAATCCGAGCTCATTCCGATTTCATTCGTCCGAGATTCATCCTTTTGTCAAGGTAATTAATCTACCGTATGGGTTAAACATCTTGGAATTCGGTGAAAATATTGTTTAGGATGGATGATTTGGAACTTTCTACTGAGCGTGTCAGCTAGTGTTGCAGTAGATTGTTGGATGTGGCTTGCATTTTATTGGTTGAAACACTAGTGGAAGGAAATCCAGCTGAAATAAGACTGCTGTATAATTCAGCTGTAAATTTCATTTTTATCTCCTTCAGAGGAAGAAGCTCCAAATATACCGTGTACTGAATGTGAGAAAACTAAATATGGGCTTGACATTCCTTTTAAGCATGTCCTTCGGGAGTGCAACTCTCTATTGTAATATGCCATTGGCTTTATGAATTGAGAAAACATAGGAACACCAAAAAGAAGGAAATTAAATCAGAATTTCTAGAAAACACTAATAAAATCTGCTTATTGTGAATCACTCTGGTTAACTGGATGTTGGTATGGAAATGTCACACCTGCATCTTTGGATGACAGGTCCTTTGTTGTGGGACTGAAGTTCAAGGTGGACTTGTGAAACAAGTAATTATGTTCATCATGAAGTGCAAACACCTGGGAATGGAGGCTGTCTGTGATTTTTTGGGTACCTTCTTGAATTATTCCATTATAAAAGTTCCTATTGCAAGTTACAGTTCAGCATTTGTGAGGGAGTTGGTGTCCACAATGGCGGCGTTCTGCTGCTCTTTTCCCCAAGAAGCCATTCCCATAATGAAGATGCTGACTCGATGTCTTAGTTTTTTCCCATGTAAGAATGCTGAAGTAAGTTAAATGTTGTACTGAACAGCATCAGTTGTGTTTTCTGATCTTCAATTGGGATTTGCAGCATGGCACTGTTACATCTCTACAAAACTACTCGTTTT